CTGCAAGTAGCATTATAAGCGATAACAAATGCGATATTGGACGCCCAAGAATATGCAGTGTTTTGTATTTTTTTTTAACGGAAATCAAATTCTATTATAACAAAAACGACACCTTTTATATATATACTAAATATGCATAACCTCTAGGTACCAATATATCTAATGTTGTAAAAAATTGAAATTCAGACGATCATACAAATTTAATTTGACATTCCGGTAAACATTTATTTCTTGATAACGGACAAATGTATGAGGAATCTTGTATTACATTTTAAAATCACAGATATAAAAAAAAAAATGATCAAGCATTTTTTTAAATATCAATAAATAGCACAGAATGATTCAAAATATTTTGAAAGTTATAGCATAATATTATATGGGCAATTCTGTGATAAACAATTTTAAATTACCTAGTCATTCAGTAAGTAACTGCAGTAGCCTGCAATGTAGGTATCGGCATGTGTTCAATTTGAATTCAATAATAAAACACTGCATACATAAAACGATTTTGACCGATTAATATATAGGCACAATTCAGTAGCGGATCCGAAACTCATTTACGGAGGGGGCGAATTGGTATCATAGAATTTTAATATATACATATTAGTCAATAAACATCTGTTATATACATAAAAAAAATTGAACAGTTTTTTATTCAATATTAAATAAACAAATGTATTAATAATTTATTTGAGCAACAATTGTATGGTTCTTTTTTTACCAGCCGCAATGAACAATTAAAATAAAGTATTCAGCATTCAATATTAAAAATAAGTTACTTACCTACCACAGTCACAGTGAACAAAATATTTAATTTATTTTATAAAAATGAAGTGATGACAGATTTGATTTTAGGAAAAAAAGTCCCAGAAAAAAGTCTCTGTAACTTTTAAAGATTATTTTAATAAATACAAAACATAATAGCTAATAATTATTAAAATTATGAAAAAATATCTCATTGAATCTTAGTCAATAATATTATTAAAAAAAATATAGATAGTTAGATGTCAGAATAGAAAAAAAAAATATTACATAGTTAAAAAATCCTAGTTGTATAAATTGTTATCGCTGTAACTTTAAAAAATTATTTTAAAAGTTTTATGAACTTTTTTTACCTCTAGACTATTTTTCCTTGAGACTTTTTTTCCGGATACTTATTTTTCGGGACTTTTTTCTCCGAAAATTTTTTGCCGTTCTCCAACAGATTTTTACTACTGTGCAGCACTGCTTGACGATAAAATGATTTTATCTGTCATTCTATCCATAATCTAAAATTATAACCGTAGCAAGTGTCTACAGCAATTTTGGTTATAACCAATAAAATATTCTTTTATTATCTTTGGTTAAAACCAATTTCAAATTTGTTTTGAACATAATCTTGTTATTTAAATCCAAGTAAATTCAAATTACAATATAATTGATAAGATATTAAAAAAAAATACCTTTTTTGTATCATTTATTAAGTTCGAAGTTATAGTTATGACTTATGAATTTCATATTCATTATATCATACGGCGTTATAATTCAAGTAAAAAAAAAGCCCCCAGAATCGCCACGTCGCCCCCAACCTCAAATCCGCCACTGGCATTATTTGTATTTATAAGTATTTAAAGTTAACATTTTTACGAAATTCGAGGATGGAAATTTTAAGATTTTAAATAATTTTAAGTAATGTTTTTATTTCGTAGTTCATACTGTAACCTAGGTACTGTAAGGCATATTTTTGACCAAAATAACTAGCCACGTCCCGTTAAAAATAATTTGAAATGATAAATAATAAGACACCTAAATATGTACCTACTGATTACTTTCTTTCTCCATAATATATTGAGTCAGCTGATATAGATTATCACAAATTTGCAACTATATAAATTTATTTTTAGGTGCACTGTTAGAGAAACATATTGACGACTCAATGAGGTGTATTATAAGAGAACAGGTTGTAAGAACTAAAACTGCAGATAACCATTTGTATAACTTACCAGGTGTATTCATTGAATGTTAGTAGGTATAACTGAACTATTTTTAAAGAATTAACTTAATTTCATAACTTTTTTTAAAATTTAAGATCAACTTACAGGAATCAGAAAAATTACTCTTGTCAGAATCATTTGTACCTAATAACAGCAAAAATGTCACAATGGTGCAGAAGCAAACATTTTTGAAACCGGATTTAACTAATAAAAAATGCAACATTGTAATACCGAATTAATTCCGACAACCTTCATCAGTCGTTGATTAGATTTTGTCTAAGTACTTTCAAAATCATCTCGTGAATAAAATATTGATGTATATTATGTATATATATGTGATCTCAATGATCTCATAAATAAAATGAAGTAGCGGGATAATTGTGACCATTTTTCTCAAAAACAATTAGACCAATTCACTTTATTTTTTTTTGCGATACCTAGAAGTCAGTTTTAAAAATTTAAACATTAACCTATTATGATATAAAGTATGCATAATGGATATAAATAAGAAAATAGGATAGAAAATATAAGAAAATAACTATGAGAAAACAATAGAAATTATGAAAATTATTTATTAATATGTATATATTGTATATCTTTTAATTATATTGATAAATTGATGGAATGTTTATTGTAATTATCGCATAGTTTGTTTCCAGAAGGTCCTGGCATATTATATTCATCTGCAGCACTATAATTTGTATTAAACCATTGTTAAATCGGGAATAAAAATTGTTTACATTATTTGAAAAATAAACAAAAAATTAATAATTAATCTATCGATTTCGTAATACATAATAATTAGTTTCATACTTTCTGTCAGTTATTTTATCTACGCCGTAAGAAATTATTGATTTTTGATTTAAAGTTAAATATCTTTGATATTTGTAGTCATTCATTTTAGTATTCTGTAAAGTTTATTTGGTATTTATTTTACCCATGAAATTATTGGCAAATTCATTCCACAATGTTAGAGTTATGTATAATTGTATAAATATCATATTATATATATATTATATATATTGTAATTATATTTATTATGTAAGAGATTAATATGTATACCTATACCTATATATATTTATAATTTATATTGAAAAAAAATAATATTAGTTTTAATAGTTACCTATAGGTACTTTAATCATATTTAATAACCAGTAATGAATAAACATTAATTAACCATTAGTTGACCGTTTTGCTTAATACAACAATGTATAATATATGTAATGATTTTGAATAAATATTTTTTTTTACTAATAATATGTTTATATCAAAAATTCAATAAATTATATTTTTAGTTTTTGTAAATAAATGTTTAAAAATATACTTTATAATATATTTAATATTTTAAGTTGACATTTATTAGAAAACAAATGAATAATATTCTAATTTTATTTTGTTAAATACTATTACTAAATATTTATAACAAAAGTACTAGAGTATTCTACTTAGTTCAATTAAAATAGTGTTCAGTACCTACTAAACAAAGGTATTTACTTTTTAATTACAAGAGGATTGTACGTATTTCTTTTATTTCATATTAATATGTCATACATATAAGATGTAGGTACCTACCTATATATTGATAAAAATAAAATAGGTACCTATATTCATTATAATGGTACATGATAAATTTCTATTCTAGTTGAAAAGACGTTTGCAATTCATATACAGATTTTATTAACAAGTATAATAATATGGTATCTATTTATTAGTAGGTATGGCCAAACCTTTACCACCATATTAAACTTTTAATACACAATTAAAGTTAGAACATTAGTAAAATATATATTGGAAAATACTTGTTTAAATTTATTTTTTTATTTGTAGGTATGGATTGGATCTACAAATAAATTCCATGGTGAATATAAAATTTAAATATTTAAATAATAATAGACATACATTAATATTTTTCATTTTTTTAATGTGAATATATTGAATATATCATTGGATAGTATCTTAAAATGTAAAATATTGTATAGATTAAGTTTATATTAATTTCGTTCATACAATTTAGAATGGTTCTTATGGTTCTGAAATTTGGTACATGATTAATCATAATATAGGACATAGCTAGTGCGCGGTCGGGTCTACGGCACCGACCGCTTCGGCCTTCTTCGTCAACCGTGCTTCGTACGTCGGGCGACCGAGGTGGGGGCTCCGGCTGCAGCACCACCGCCGGACACACATCGACGGCTGTCCGGCTGTCTCGTTTCGTACACCATACCGCACTAATGGAGATGTAAGCTGTATTCATTGTCAACCTAATAAACAACTTAACCTCTACAAGTGTTCCAGAACCAGTGTTCCACTTGTCTGTGTAAAACCTACCATTGTTGGCGACAACCACCCATACATACCTACTACCTGAAGGAGATTCTGTCATTGGACTGGATTCCTGAACCTCGTAGCCGAAGGTAAGTCTCAAACCATAATCTTACTGGAGGGCAACTGCCACGGGTACACCAAGTGTAGTTTTCGGAAAAGTATAAGCGGCGACTACAAAAAGATACTACTCGCTTGTAGTAGCTGGGAGAACTGCCCTGGACCACGAACGATAGCGTCTCGTGCAGTCACAGCGACATCCACACGACCATAGACCACGTTGGGGGACCATCAGTAGCGTCCTACACATACGAGCCGCATAAGCACCAAGTGGTAGGGCATGATTTCCCTAAGGGACCTGGGTCGGACTAGGTGACCACCATTAAGTATTTGACACTCGAAAACAAACAGATAGAAACATGGCGCAAAAAACGCCCACCAAAGACTAAAGACACTCTGGGAGAATTGCAAAACCACTTGACTGACGGACCTCGGGAAACCCCGTTTTGATGACCGGAAACGACCGATTCTACAACACATGCGGGATTTTCCATACGATCCAGGTGAGGGGAAAACCACCAGACCGCCATTGGTTTTTACACTTGCCAACAGACGAGGAAAATCCCCACTAAGGATCGGGAAGATACAAAGCCAATAGGTGATAATATATACTCGTTATTTCCAGCTGTTTCAGATATTCCCGCCATGGGCGAACTACGACGAACGACCAACCGCCAACCAACCACATCCAACAGGGATTTTAATATTTCATCAGTCGACTTTCCACCGACCCGTGGCATGGTAGAGGACGTAGTCCAACTGATGCTGGACCAGGTGTCGGTGACACTACGAAACGCCCGAAGTCTAGCGGGGAGGACCTCCGGAATCCCGACGTGGGAGATGATGATGGCGGTGTGGAAAAGGCAGAGACAACCACCCACGCAGGCGGATAAAGCGACCCAAACTGACACAGGCACCAAGGTAACAAAACCGCCCAATAGTGACAACAGGGCGTGGATCGCGTGGGCTCTCCAGGCCGACCAGGAAAAGATTCTGGACCACCCACTCATGCAAGTGGCACTTGACAGGGGAATTGTGTGTCTGCCGAAAACCCAACCGGAACGGAACCTACAACCAGGGAGGTTGGAAGGGCGGACGAAAGCGTCTTGGAAACAAGGGATCGGACAACAGCCAGACACCAACATCATCGACCTCACGGAAGAGGACGACATCCTGCAGTAGGCGGTCCACCGGGATGAGCTGCCGGATATCGACCTTCTCCTACCTAACCCGGATTACGAGGGGTTATGATCAGCCAGCGAATAATAACTTTTCATTTGTAAATTGTAATTTTGTACGTTGTTCGAGGTGGCGACGACGACGCGCGGTTTGGTGGGGGAGAATGTCGTGGTCGGAGCTACGACACTTCTTCGTCAACCGTGCGTCGTACGTCAGGTGACCGTGGTTATTATAATATACAATATTAATACAATTTCCCAACCGAGGAAGGCCGTATCTGAGATGGGTCCAGTGGGTCTGGACAAAAAGTAAGACAAAAATTAATATCATTAAACTATATAGGTACTTATGTATTATTTATGTGTTTAGGTAGTTGCAAGTAAGCATAATAGAAGATTGTTAATTTATTATTTATTATTATTCTCCTAGACTCTACACCCTACATGTTAACTTATTGAACTTAAATAAATAATCTTACATATTATAACGATTCATTATTTGAATAATTAACAATGGAAATAAATCATTATACTTTATTGTTTATGTTCAATGCCATTCAAATTGAAATATTTATCTCGTATAAATATTGCTGAAGTTATATTGTGAAATTCAAAACAAATGACTACCTATCATACAAATATAATGCATATTTAATAAACGCATACAATTAATACTAATGACTGAATTGTTGTATAAAAGCAGATTTATTTTGTTCTAAGTACATATTATGATATATATTTATTTAGTACAATTATATAGATAAAATCAGATATTTTTTTTAAACTTAATTGAGTTTTATATTGTACCAAAGTATTGTGTATTATTTATAATATATTAAGATATAGATTGTGTAAATTGAGATATTGTTGGTCTCTCGGCTCTCGCATCCAACAACAAAAAACATTCATATTTCTAATATAATAAGTAATAACTAATTAAAATACATTAATATAATTGATATACCTATATACAAATATAATAATTTATAATATGTTTAATTATGTAAAACAGGTAGTCAATCTTTATTGATGAGTATATAATAATATAATTTTTTATATTACTAATATATAGTATAAGTCTAAACAGTACTTTATGATAGACAGCTATGACTATATTATGTTCATTAGGTAACTTTTTAACACTATTGGTTAATTCAATAATAATTTTCTTCACACACCACGTTTACTTAAGTGTAATTTATATTTCTACAATATTCATGGTCAACATCTCAAAAAAGTAATAATATTTTTGTATATAATAAATAATAATGAATATAACATTTAATGTTTTATAAGATTTTTGCGTAATACAGCCGTAAAATAAAACAGTATCTATATAAGTTTTTATATTGTATAATGTATTTAACACCACTAATATAGGATATTATAGTTTAAGTGTTAAACAGTGTCATTATTGTTATTATTATATTTGAATTCAAACTATTTATTGTAAATCTATATATTAAATATTATAATTATGTATACTTTACACTGTATATTTAAAACTAAATTGGAATTATATTCTTTTAGGTATATAAAGTTTTATTATTATTAATAATATTAATATGTTATTTGTTTTAGAAAAATTGACTTACAAAGTCTTATGAACAATTTTTAATTAGAATATAAATATAAATTATAGTTAAATATAAATTCTTATGTAATCATATTTATTACAATTATTAGATAGAAAATACATTTATTATAAACATATACAAAGGAACAACTTAACTTAATTTAAATTTATAATATTTTTATAAACAAAAGTTTGTTTCTTACAATCTTTTCAAACAATAATTTAATGTTTCATTCCTCGCAAACATAATTAAGTTCAAAAATGATAAAATTAATCATTATTCAGTTGTGTAATCTCATCTATCTAAAACTGGTAATGACGAAATATATGTATGAACTGAAGAAAACATAATTGAGTAGTTCATGTTATACATCCTAGTTAATCTGGAACTTGGAAACCCTCTTTTGCTGACTATAAGAAACAAAAAAATACATTTAATTGTAATTCTGGTAAACATATATTTTCAAGTAACTATAACATAGATATTGCAAATTAAGACATGTTATTTATATTTTATTTAATATGATAACGCTTTGGAGGGTAATCAGTTAGTTAACTAACATAGTCAACATATGTGTGTAGTTATGTTGTATAATGTATTATGTGCCAAGTTGAGGTAATTTCTGATCCATAGACTTTAACGATACTGGATGAAACTTTGGGATGTGATTTTCAATAAATTGATGTTATAATAAGCTATTAAATGTTTATTAAAATACAACTTGTAACAGGTGTCAGGTTCTGTTGTAACTCACACAGGGCTATGCAAGAATGAGAATGCTCTACCCCTTAATAAATTTTAAATCTACACTTCAGATAAAATTGTCACTCCTTCTGTACACATCAATAATAAGGCCTTTGATGTCCTACGCCTGTCCTATTTGGCAGCCGCGTCACCTACAAAAATAAAAAAGCTACAAATTTTACAAAACAAATTTTTGAGGATTTGCCTTAAAGCTCCATGGTTTATGAGAAACAGCCAAGTCCACAATGACACAGGTATACCCTTCATTAGTAAATGGATAATGACTCAACTAAAAAACTTTCACGCCAATCTAAAAAATTCGGACGGAGCCCGTCACTACAACCTAGGGAAAAAAACATGCAATAGACGTCTGCGACCTCGACTCCTCCAGGACATTCTCCAAACGGATAGCCAAGATTCATCATCAGAAGACCCATAAAAGAACACACCTATACTTACACTACATATATATATTTAACCATAGTCCACTTATTCACTCATTTGTATCAATATAAAGAATCATGTACTTAGTATAATCTAACTCATTATTATAAATAACTACTTGTAATAGCACTCTGTGTGCTGAAACATTAGGACGTCCTACCAAGTATTGGGATGACATACTCGTTCATCTGGTGTCTACAAAGCTGCCACCTGAGATGAGGAAGACTTGGGAAATTGAGTCGACCAGCTATGTTAACTTTCCCACATGGCACAATTTGGGTGAGTTCATAGAGAATCGAGTTAATGCTGAATAGAAGAATAGAGTTAAAATAGAGTTTTTTTTTTTTTTTAATAGAGTTCATGTAGTTTAGGCATGGTCGTAGTAAGCCAAAGACAACAACAAAAACCGTTTCACATGCTACTATGATAAGATAACAGGACAGTCAGCCATTTTGTCAAGTATGTTCATTACCACATAGTATATACTAATGTTCCATGTTCATGAAAGCTAGTGTCGAAGAACGACGAACGTTAGCTCTGAAGTTATCACTGTGCTGAAACTGTCTACGTCCAGGCCATTAGAAAAAACAATGTACTATGGATAAAGTATGTAAGGCGTGTCAAGCGAAACACCATACGTTGTTGCATTTACCTGAATCCACGGTAGACAATAGTAACGTGAACACACCTCCAGCACCTTCATCTACAACCGTTGAAACCATAGCAGCCCATGGAACATCACGTTCACTGTCATCAGTACTTCTGTCTACGGCGTTGGTACGTGTACAAGGACCTAATGGACAAAATGAACTGTGTCGTGCGCTGTTGGACTCTGCTTCACAATCACACTTTATTACCAGCACATTAGCTACTAGGTTAGATCTAGAACGCCATAGATCAACCATTGTTGTGGGAGGGATCTCCAATGCCACTACTAATGTGTCTGAAGTCACATCATTTCGTATCGCAACAGATATCAGCTATACGTTAAATGCACTGGTCGCTCCATGTGTCACAGTGGATTTACTTCACCAAAGAGGTGTTTACATACCATACGATCAACCAGAATAAATATGCAAGTGCATTTAAATACGCTAAGAATATACACTAGGAAATACAACTTCCTTAGATGTTTCAAAAATAAACCAGTGTTCATCCCTTGTAAAATCTTCAGTATTGCAAACATCCATTATAATACATTGTGAGGTTCTTTTCTCAATTGGTTTCAAAGTAATGGACAACAAACTATTAGATGAATCATCAATTGGCATGGAAGTATTATCTGTTTTATCTGAAAGGTTATTAATTTTTTCAGTCTATAACATTAACATCAAATGTTGGATTTAAATTACAAGTTAAAATGTATTTTAGTAAGAATTTTTTACATAATACCTTTTAAATTGTTTTTTTTTTAGCTTCTGACGATTGTTCAGCAGCTTCATTATCTATTGGACTTATGAATTGATCTTCACATGTACTCAATACAGACACCTCTTTTGACCCTGTCAAAGCATTAAGTATTAATGATTTGAAAAAAGAATTTTTATTTTAAATTATTATATAGATTTTAAATACAATTTTACTATAAAAAAGAAATATAACATCAGAAAAAGATTATTTAAAAGGACATTCCCAAGTCGTTATCTTGGAGGAAAAATTACTATTTTAAGCATGTTTATCCAACCAATGTATTAAGTAAGTTTTATATTTTCCGCGGTCATTAAGGATAGATTTTTGAAAATTAATATGGAATTAATTAAAATCAAAACGTTTTAATCAATAATAACATATTGCAATTGCAACTTACTATTATTAAAAAGTATATATATTATATTAATATAAAGAAAAGGGAATTGTCTTTATGAACTAGTGTTTTTACTGCATGGGTTTGCTTTGTTCCAATTTATTAATAAAACCTTCTCTCTTATATTAAATTGTAAGACATTTATAATATTGTTCATTTTTTCTTAAAAAAAAAAGTTAAAAGTTATTAAATTATATAGAAAAATAAAACCTTGTATTTACCTAAACCATAATAATAGAATGCTAATTAATAGTTTAAAAGTTAGTACAAAATAAAATAAAAAATAATTAATTTTTTTCTTACCATTATCTAAAAATTATGATGAAACAGCGACTGGTTTTAATCTGTTCTTTAATTCAGTATTCTTGAAACAATCGAGTTCAAATGAGTACTACAAACTCTTGTTCTACTTATTACTATTTTAGCAGGATCTTTTTTTATTCCACATTTTTCTATCCACTTTTTTCTCAGCTTGAAATCCTTAGCATAGTCAAATAGACTAAAATTCTTTGAAAGCATGTTAAAGCAGTTTTTAACGGAACATCATAACCCAGATCCTAAAGTATGGTCCTTTAAAATTCATATTAAAAAAAGGCAGGTAAGTGGATGTCGCTCAGCTGTACAGTAGGTTACAAGTTGGTCATTGTTTAATGGATTGTATTAAACTTGAATTCAATGATATAATATCATTGTATAAGAAAAACGATTCTGAACGGAGACGGTTTGTCAGTCTGGATATTTTATATAGTTATTATTTATTATATCATGTAAGTTGAATTAATATTATAATTTTTTATTCGTTTCTATGGTGATAAACAAAGCGTTAGAAATTAAAATCCGATTTTAAATGGTTTTTCGTAATTTTTCGGTGGTTTTTTCCGTGGCATTATATAACTATTGAGAAAATCGAAAAATGACCTCTCTAAAGTACCATCTTGGTCCAATTTTCTAAAAGATAAGGTACTATATGTTGAAATCAAAGCACTCCTTCTGGTAGAAATTTTGTATACAGGATATAAAAAAAAAAAAAAAAAAAAAAAATAAACACCATTGTAAAACCACTAGCTTCCTCGCTCCGCTCAGAATCTAAAATATATTAATATTGAAAACATCTAGGTTGCCAATTATTTAGAACAAATTAAAATATAATATGAGCTCAATACATATTTTAGTGATATAACATTCAATAGTCTAGTTTGTATAGAGTCTATAAATTTAGTTCTATATATTATATCTTGTTGGCTGTACAGTATATTATGCAAGACAAGTTGTGTGTATATATTTATTTATATATTATGATACAATGAACAGCCTACACAATGATTATTTTCTTATAGTAAATATAAGACAAAGCTTTGTTTGGGCGTTATTAGTTGACCATTTTGATTTTATATTTTAAAAAATATTGGTTTATATTACGTACGCATTTAAGTATATCAAAAATGTTCAGTTGCTATTTTAAAATAGAAATTCATACTGTCAAGTATAATGAAAGGAATAATTATGTAATTTATATATCGACTGCTGAACTCAATTTTACAAAACTTTTTTTTTTAATCTAGTTTACTATTTTTCTGGATTAAAAACAAAACTGATAGTAGCATAAATCAACCAAAGACATTCTATACAATAAGATGCTGTCGTTGGAAATTCAGAAAAATAGTAGGACTGGTTTTATTTTCACAAAAGCCCATGACACTATAGTTAAATGCTTAAATGAATAACACAGATCCTCAATTAATTACAGTAGATATTTCCTAACAATACACTAAGAGTAGTAGCTAAAAAATATATCCCGAAATTATTCCAAAAAGAGTACACACATTGGTGGTCAAACTACTAACTATTTTATAATTAATATGACTGATGACTATATTACTGATGTCTAATTAGAAGCACTAAATTACTAAAGAAGAGAATCCAGGACGTCAATAAGGAAAGCATGGAAAATCATAAAAAAGATAAAGATATCAGACTGTATTGACCATGTTTATTAAAAATATCAATACTTATTTACTGACCGCCATATTTTTATTACTCATATCCTCATTGTTTCTAATAAGTCTAGATGACCGTCTTGGTGATTTAAAATGATTTACAACAGCATTTCCAATATGTTCCTCTCTGTAAAATTGAGATTCTATGCAATCACTTTCATCATAATAAGCCAATTTTCTAGATTTTCAAATAATTATAAAAAAAAAAAATCTAGTCTAATACAATTTTCATTAACTCACTTTATAATATTTTGTTCCAATGGTAAAATTACATTATTAGCAATTTCAACATCATTACTTTGAGTAGCATAACTATAAAAAAATAAAAATACTATAGAAAATGAAAAATTAAATTATAGAGACCAAGAAGTATTACTTAGAAGGAAAACCATTTCAATCATAAGGTTGGGGAATAGTATTTGAAAATTAAAATCGCTTTTTTCCTGGCTTATAGTTTTCTTCTAAAAAATGATCATGACCACGATCAATTTCAAAAACTTTAAGCCATTTTCTTCTCATGTATTCATTCTTGGGAATTCTATATTAAAACAAATATCAATCATTATAATAAATTGCTAATGTTAGGTTAGGAAAATAACATAAAGTAGAAATTATCAGGCTAAACGGGTTCAAAATTATTTCACAGTATCCCGCACCAGAATAATGAACCATGTCAATAATGTGATTTTTCACAACAGTTTGAGCGAGTTAATTTTTAAAACCAATTGACACTCACCCATCATAAATAACTCCTGGACGATTGACCTTGGTTTTATTATATGTATTGAAGCACACTATACACTTATGCATTTTAAAACGTAGTGTTATATTATATTATTATCAAAAATAAAGTTAAAATAATTAATATAAAAGTGCAACCACCGAGACCAATTTTACAAGTGGGATATTGAAGTTAGCCTTATCAGTCGACAGTTATATGTATTGTATGTAGTTGGAACTTAAAAAAGAGAGCTCGATCAATGGACGTGGGTAGCCTTGATCACTCAGTCTTGGAATGTATACGACACCTGTATTCCAGTCTCCTATAGACCGATGATTGTGTTTTAATATGTAAGTTTTCTTGTGGTAGTTAATCCAGTCATCTATGGAATAGTTGGGTGTTTAGGTATCGCATTTTTCAAAGGTATAGTATGTTTTAAGTATAATATATACCTACATAATATGTCTACTGCAATCTCCCCGAGGACTGTACAAAGCACACGAATGAAACCAAGAAAAACATACTTTATGATTTCACAATCACAAATTTTATGAGATATTATGAGTATTATTAAAAACGAATTTTTGAAAAGCACCTATTTATTATTTAGCCAGACAAACACCCACGGACTGACACGGTAGAAATTAAAAAAAAATAATATTCTGCAAAGCTTCACGAAAACTACGAAAACAAAAGATAACCGACTAGTGATAAGCGGAACTCCTGTAATCACGGTCTTGGATTATAAATCAGTAACAAAATATATTTTTGTTCGTTGTAGGATTCTGTTCGTTCTACCTCCACGGACGCCGTACGATTCTACGATCTAAAGCATTACACTTTTAAAAAATTACACACGAACAGGGGCGGATTGGGCCACCGGGAATTCGGGAGTTTTCCCGGTGGGCCGCTTTTTTTCAAATAACTATGTATTCTTAAATTCCTATTAGGTACCAGCCCAGTAAATTTGCATTTCTTTTCCGATTTTTCAAAATAAGATAATACGAATTGGATTGAGGACAGTATGCAATAGTAGGTATATCAGGTAGGCAATCTACCTACGGTGGATTGCTGACACAACGATGAGAGACAGAAAGCAAAAATATAGTATTTTTCGAAAAGCAAAAACAGCAAATGTAATATAGCGGGGTCACTAGTTAGGACAGTTAAAAATTAAAATCGAAAACAACCCTTGATATGTTATGTAAAACCACATTAGGTGATCTCTAGGTAACGACAAACTTCGGGAAAAGTCTGCTTTACTTGACATCCCGCGGAAGTAGAAAATAGAAAAAGTCAACCTGATTTGAGCAGTAAGCACTGTAATATCGAAAACTATGATTAAAATATTATTGAATAATAGGGAAGTAACATTACGTAGGTATACAATAATTTGTATAATATTTAGCTGATTGGTGAGTACAGATAGTGAACGATAATTTGTTAGATTGTACTAAGACGGAGACAAAACATTTTACTCAATATTACATTACATAAAAATACTAAAGAAAAAAAAGACTATACAATTTTTCTGGTTGTTTAGAATTGA